CAGGTTATCAGTTGATGAGGGCCGGACCACTGTCCAGACACCAGGTCCCGTACCTGAACGGGAGCAGGAGCAGTCACGGGTTGACATGACACTAATGAGGAAAAATGCAAAAAGAGAGCAAGAAAATGAGAATCCAGGGGAAAACTCAAAAAATTTAAAACATAACCGGCTTTGTCTAAACGGGCTTGAGGGGGCTCACCGTGCATTCCCCCTTTCTGTTTCTGAAGCAGACACTTCAGAGAGCCATGCATATGTTCTACAATAGCTTGCCCGGTAGGAGAGTGAGGGATGCCAGTAACATGAGACACTCCCCAGTCATTCAAAAAGGTTTGAAATTTCTGAGAGCTATAGGCAGGGCCATTGTCAGTCTACAGCTGCAATGGGACACCAAGGGTAGCAAAAGCTCGTTGAAAATGACAAATCGTATTAAGAGCACGCTCACCTGCATGAGCAGTAGCACAAACAGCATGAGAATACGTATCAACAGAAACATGCACAAATTTGAGGCGTCCAAATTCTGGGACATGAGTAACATCACTTTGCCATACCTGTAAAGCTTGCAATCCTCTAGGATTGGTTCCATAATAGACAGGGTCATTCTGACCTTGGCAATCAGGACAGGCAGCCACAATAGAACGAGCAAGGGATTGTGTATGGCCAAACTGTTGCTCAAGAGCAGTACTGCCTTGGTGAAAAAATTGATGTGAGAGGAGAGCCTGTTGTCGCTTGTCTGGAACAGGCCCGATCTGTGCAGGTGCTACGAGAGAGTCTGCTCGAGCATTACCCTCAGTAAAAAATCCAGGCAGTGAAGTGTGACTGCGAATATGAAAAACAAAGTAAGGAGCAGTACAAGACTGTAGAGTTCACCACAATGTTAACAAAACCTGAAAGAAGATGATCATCACAATCAGAAAGAACTACTTGATCTAAACGCTGTAGAAGTCCCGCCACATAAGCCAAATCTGTAACAAGATTAAAAGGCCGAGGAAAAAGTTGAAATGCCAAAGTAACAGCACGGAGTTCCACAACTTGTGGAGACCCGGATTGTTGAACAAGTTCATGTTGCCATCCTGTGGGTGTATACCAGACCTCAGCAGCTTTTCCTGTTTTCCCCGAACCATCTGTAAAAAGAGTGAGTCCTTCCACTGGTTCCGTAGATGACAGCAGCTTTTGTCCAACAGGTACTTCACTAAAAAATTTCAGTAAAGGGTGTGAAGGTAAATGATAAGCAATTTGCCCCTGAAAATCTGCCATAGCAGCTTGCAATTCATATTTGTGATTCAAACAGCACTCAAAATACCAGGATTGTACAGGTAAAACAGTACAACTAGGATCTCTGCCAATTAATTCAATGCACCATTTTCGTGCTTTCATGATAATCTCAGCGAGAAGTTCAAATAGGCCAGGTGCTGTTTTCCGAGATCTTGAGGG